CAGAGACAGAGGTAGAGAGAGACAAAGACAGATACAGAGACAAGAGGCTGCAAAGCCTTCTTCCTACCACGTGATTTTGAGGGCTGTAGGCTGAATTATCAGTGGAAAATCTTCATTTCTTTTAGTCTCCTGAAATCACTAGTTCTCAGTAACCATGAAGGGGTCTTCTCAAGTCTTCAGTATTCTATCACTTATTTAGCACTAACCTTTCTGATGTTGCTTGCAACAAATCTCCCTCCCTCTCTCTCTCTCTCTCTCTCTTTCTCTCTCTTTCTCTCTCTCTCTCTCTCTTTTTTTTTTTTTTTGGTAACAAATCTCTTATCCAGGGAAGAACTCTCACAAGATTGGGTGAAGTGTCTCTCTCAGTCCCTTCTAAGTCAGAGAAATTGAGTCCCATTCTTAAAATTGTTATCGATCTTAAACTTTCCAAGTTACAAGGGCAGCCCTGAGTTCACAGGATGCATTATGTAATTTTTTTCTTTTCCTTTTTGAAGACATTGCAGTTGAACTAACCAGTTTGAGTGTTTATAGTAGGGCCAGCATGTGAGGAACCTTGGAGTTCAGACAAGATCCCTGTTTTCTCTGAGAACAGTCTATTAGATTAATAGATCAGACTAGTTAGTCCACATTACAAAATATATCCCAGGACATGGAAGCACAAGTGTCATGTGATTGCGTAAAGGTATGTACCAGGAACCTGAAGGACTAGCTTCTGGGAGGAAATGATTCTAAGGTGATATGTAAAGAAGATGTAGGAGTAATCCAGTTAAGATAGAGAAGAAAAGGATCCACCTTAGAAGAAACAGCAAGTGCTAAGTCCTGAGAAGCTACATGGATGCAAGGACCTGCAGCCTGGACAGGGTATGGGCTGGGTGTGTGTGTTTGTGGGGGGGAAGCTGCACGGGCTAGGTAGCTAAGTAGCAGCCAATTTGTAATGTACAGAGAAATATGATTTATTCTTTGAAAATCACTCTGGTATTTTAACAAGCCCTTTCATATTTTTTTTTTTGAGAGGTTTTTGCTATAGGGCGTGTGCGCTCGCCAGACAGACAGAGAGAGACAGAGAGACAGAAAGCAGGAAATTACCCCCCAGGGGGGATGGCCATGCCGCAATCCCTTCTCCTCCATTCTCCTCTCGGGATCTTGGGCACGCACACACACGCGCCCGGTGTGAGTTTAAGCCACCGTGTCCGGGACTCGAACCGTGGTCGACTACGTGGGAGTCCAGCGACATAGCCATTACGCTAACTGCTGGTCCCAAGCCCTTTCATATTTTGGGAGGTGGAGGTGGCAGACAGCATTAATCATCAGGTATCTTTGTCTTAGTAGCCCTTTGACCAAATGCTTGGTCTCCCTCCATCTACCCTAAATAGGTATTGAAGTTAGAACTGAGCCTTGTGGTGTGTCTATGCAGCAGAGGCAGGGTGTCCTCAGATCCATTTGGTAGCCTTTGATTCTTCAGGTTCTTCCTGGTGCTATTTCAGAACCTGAAGCTTGCGATGCAGTGTGCACTGTGCACTGCTCTGTGCGCAGTCCCATACCAGAAGGTTCCCAGTGCAAGCCTGGAGACCTCCTTGAGTGTGACAGCCATATGCTTGCCCATGATCTGGAGCTGTCTGAGGCTCAGGGTGGACTGTGATATCAGATCCCCATGGGGTGCTATATCTCTTGCTCATTCATGAGGGAAATACATAAACTTCTAAAAAGTCATGATGGAAAAAAATTTGCAGCTGAAGTAAAACTTGGGTACAAAGTCAAACTCAGGTCTCATGTGTGTTGTCTGTTGCTTATGGTGCTCTTGGGTGTCTCAGGAGACTCACCTTTTTTTTTTGTTGGACTGTGTCACCCTTTAGTCTCGGTCACATCTTTATCTGAACTGGCTTACATTTACCAACTCATCTCAGTTACATTTCTGTCCTCTTGCTAGGGTGGCATGTGAAGACTTAGGGACATGTGGGAGTCTAGAGCAACTCTGGTCAGCCAAAACACAACCTTCCCTCTAGCGTCCTAGACTCTGCTTTGACATGGCCATCTTGCAGGTGGGTGCTAGGATAGATCATCTGCTAAGGGACCCTAACTTCCCAGTTACAACCTGCCTTTCTCAGTGACTCCTCCATTGCTCTCACTTTCTGGGCTTATGCTCAGGAGCCATAGGTCTTATCTTTTGTCTTTTTCTCTCTGTCAGTTCCTCTGCCCCAGAAAAGACAGGTTTTAGATAGGCATTGTCTTCCTCTGGTCAGGCTCTCCTGTCCTGGAGCAGATGACCTCATGGCTTTACCCTCAGTGGAGAAGGGATGTCTTCTTTGCAATAGAGAAGAGACTATGATCTCAGTTGTCTAGATATTATAGTCTTGAGTTGGTGAAAGGAATTTACAAATTGCTCCCTGTCCTTCAATTACGACTGTTTCTTGGGACCAGCAGATCACATAATGGTTATGTCACTGGACTCCCACATAGTCGAACGTGGTTCGAGTCCCGGTCTCAGCAGTTTAAAACATGCCAGGCACATTTGTGTGCATGCCCAAAATCTCAGGAGGGGAATGGAGGAGAAGGAATTGTGGTGTGTGATCATCACCCTTGGGAGGAGGATTTCTCACTTTCTGTCTCTCTGTCTCTCTAGCAAGCGCACACACCCTATATCAAAAATCTCTCTTTATAAAAAAAAAATACTGGTTCTTAATCTTTACCTATTATGAATGACAAAAAGATCTTCTATTACCCTTAATAACCCTTTTCTAGTTATCCTTCTCACCTCCACTGTGGTTGCCTCAGGCTAGTTAG